CATTCTTTAAAAAAGGCACTGAGGGCTCCTAACTTTTTTCAAATTCTTCCCAAAATAAAAATAGAAACCTGATATATTTTCGAATTCTTTCAAAAACAACACAAAATGGACCCTTAAGTTTCTTTCTCTTATAAAAGAAAAACACTAAGGGCTCCCAGTCTTTGAAAAATAAAACACAAGAAACTTGGGCTATTCTTTTATATTGCTAAAAGAAGGGCACTGAGGGTTCCTAAATTTTTTCGAACTTTTTCAAAAATAGGAAAAAAAGGGGATCTCGACATCTTTTCAAATTCTTTCAAAAATAAAATACAAGGGATCCTTAAAAATTCTTACACATTAAAAAAAAAAGTCACCAAGAGTCCCTAAGATTTGTTCAAGGTCTTCCACAAATTAAATATAAGAGACCATGAAGATTATTTTACATACATAAAAAAGGCACTAGGTGCTCTCAAGATCCTTTCAACTTTTTCCAAAAATAAACCAAAAAACTCTCGAAGATTAAAAAAAATTCTTTCAAAAATAAACTGTTCTCGAATATGTTTTCATATTCTTAAAAATAAGCTACTGGGGGCCCTTAACTTTTTGAAAATCTTGTCAAAATAAAAATTGAAACACGACATATTTTCAAATTTTTTCAAAAATAACAGGCTTCTTAAGTTTCTTTCTCACATTAAAAAAAAAAAACAAACAAAAAGGGCTCGCATGATTCATTCAGTTTTTCAAAAATTAAACACAGAAAGCTTTGAATATTACTTTATATTCATAAAAGAGGGCACTGAGGGTCCCTAAATTGTTTTAAACTTTTCCAAAAACGAGAAAAAAACGGAATCCTGAGCTTTTTCAAATTCTTTCAAAAATAAAATACAAAGATTCTTTCTCATATTTAGCAAAAAAAAAACCCGCTAAGGGGCCTACAAGATTCCTTTAAGGTCTGTTAAAAATAAAATAAAGAAGGCTTTAAGGTTCTTTTACATTTTTAAAGCAAGGACAATAAGGGGCCCTTAAGATTCGTTCAAATTTTTCGAAAAATGAACCGAAGAAATTCTCGAATATTTTTTCATATTTTTAAAAAAAGGCACTGAAATGAGGGAAAAAGGGAATCCCGAGATTGTTTCAAATTGTTTCTAAAATAAAATACAAAGAGACCCAGATTATTTAATAATAATAATAATAATAGGTTTTATTGTGCCTTAAGAAATGATACATTTCAGCAATGTCAAGACAGTATGTCATATCGACAATAAATATGCACGTGGTACAAAACATACATGTGTATATGGACAGCATAACATTTAGCAAATATAAAAGATAGAAGCAGCACCCACTTCACATTATTTATTAAATACTGATTTAATTGACCTTATATCAGTATCATAAAGTGGAGATTTTAACAGCAATGTTTTAATTTTTATTAGAAACTGGGGCATTGGTAGTGACGCAATATTATCGGGTAGGCAGTTGTAAAACTGAGGGCCATAGTAATTGATGGAGTTTCTACTTTTATTTATTCTCCGAAAGTCAAGGCAAATATCATCACCCTGTCTGGTGTTATAACAATGGTGGTCGCGATTTTTCGTGTAGCTTTCAATGCGCGTTTTCACATTTACTAAACATTGGTATACATAGAGCGATGGAACTGTCAAGATTCCATGTTCTACGTAATATTGCCTCACATCTTCTCTATAGTTCACATTAGATATTATACGAATTGCTTTCCTCTGAAGTTTGAAAATTCTGGGAAGATGTGTTGTATGTCCCCAAGTCGCAAGAGCATACGCAAAATGGCTCTGGAATAGGCTGAAATATACTAATTTTTTAATGTTAAGTGACACTATACTACTGAGTTTACGTAATAGGTAAATTGTTTTTGCAAGTTTCTTGCTTAAGACATCAACATGAGCTTCCCAGCAGAGAGTTGTATCCAACGTTATGCCTAGAAATTTAGTGTGGTTAGGATTGTCTATGCCAATATATCGCATGGAAAATATCATTGTAGATGTTTTGTCTTTGTTCAAATATAGGCCATTGCGATGAAACCAGTTCTGAGCATTTGATTGTGCAGCGGCCAGCTTTCCAGTCACAGTCGCTAATCTACGGTTAGCTGTGCTTAGGGTGGTATCATCAGCATATAATATTAGATTAACATCATCAACTGCTGCTGGTAGATTGTTGATATAAACTATAAACAGTAGGGGTCCCAAAATGGACCCTTGTGGAACGCCATACGTCGTTATTTGGCACTGTGACAAATGAGAATTATATAATGTGGTTTGACAGCGTTTGGATAGATAGTTTGATAAGAGCGTTACAGATGAATTTGCTATACCTATATTTCTTAGTTTTGAGACAAGTAAACTATGATCAACACAATCAAACGCCTTGGAGAGATCACAAAATGTAATACCGACATATTCCTTATTTTCGAAACCGTCGCTGATAAAAGAAACAAGTTCGTTAATTGCCATAGAAGTCGACTTCTTTGCTATAAAGCCAAACTGTGATGTAAATAATATATTGTTATTGACCAGAAAATCAGTTAGCTGTTTGTTCAAAACCTGCTCAAAGATTTTTGATAGTACAGGGATTATCGCAATTGGTCGATAATTATTATAATCATCTACATTACCTTTTTTGTGAACTGGGACAATTTTGGATTTTTTTAGACAATTTGGGAATATACCATATCTTATGCTGTAATTTATCATTTTTGTGAGAGGGCTTATGATTGAGTTTATAACAGATTTTATCATTATAATGTTGAGTTCGTACAAATCTTTACTAGTTTTATTTTTCATTTTGCCTATCAGTTCTCTGAGATAAATGGGAGTAATTTCACTAAAATTAAATTTTACATTAACATGATTTAATGGATTGTCCTTTAGATTCACGTGATTTTTTGGTATCTTTGATTTGAGTAGATTAATGTTATCAATGAAGAATTTATTAAAACCTTCTGCATTGAGATTTTCCGAATATACATTGGAATGATCATGATTTCTGTTAGCATTAATCACTTTCCAAGCAGCTTTGTGTACGTTTACAGAGTTTGTCAAGATCTGATCGCAGTTGTGCATTTTAATTTCATTTATTTTATTGTTAAGAAGTTTTTTATAGTCTTTTAAAGCAGTTTTGAAGAATGCAGTGTTTGGGAAACGAGACTTTATTATTTCCCATATTTAACAAAAAAAAAACGCTAAGGGCCTACAAGATTCCTTTAAGGTCTATCAAAAATAAAACATAGAAGGCTTTAAGGTTCTTTTACATATTTAACGCAAGGACAATAAGGGGCCCTTAAAATTCTTTCAAATTTTTCGAAAAATGAACCGAGGAAATTCTCGAATATTCTTTCATATTCTTTAAAAAAGGCACTGAACTGAGGAAAAAAGGGAATCCCGAGATTTTTTCAAATTGTTTCGAAAATAAAATACGAAGGAACCCTTAAGATTCTTTCCCATATTTAACAAAAAAAACGCTAAGGGCCTACAAGATTCCTTTAAGGTCTATCAAAAATAAAACATAGAAGGCTTTAAGGTTCTTTTACATATTTAAAGCAAAGACAATAAGGGGCTCTTAAGAAATTTTTCGAAAAATAAACCGAAGAAATTATCGAATATTCTTTCATATCCTTAAAAAGGGCACTGAAAGAAGAAAAAAAAGGAATCCCGAGATTTTTTCAAATTCTTTCGAAAATAAAATACAAAGGGACCCTTAAGATTCTTTGTCATATTAAAAAAAGAACGCGAAAAACCCCCAAAAATAAAAAAAAGTTATACACTGCCAATATTTTTGAAAATCATGTTAAAACATAAATTCACTAAGAAACCGCAATAATATTTTGTCCATTTTAGAAAAAAATTATGCAACAAAATTTTGAAACACAGTCATTACATTTTTGGAGGGAATAAGGACATCTCTACCATAACCTTAAAAAGTTTGAAAGATGCTGAGTCAACAACAGACAAACGGGGCACCTACTTTCCAACTCTGAAAAGTTCAAACTATGAGCGTCACGTCTAAAAAATTAAATTTGCGTAAATTCAACATTCCAACTTCGCTAAACCCAAACTGTTGAAGGCAAGAGTCCATCGTGTTTCCAGCCCCAAAATAATCACATTAGCTCCAGCAATAAATTTTTTGTTCGCCATGTTTGTCCCACTAGCCGCAAAGTCTTTAACTTCGCTAATATATAATTCAGCCCGTTTCTTCCACGAATATTATTAAATTATCTGCAGCTCCACCCTTTGAAGTTTATTCAAACAGATTACACCCGCATAATCTCCACAAATTAATGTATTTACCCTCCAAACTATTCAAATAAATGGAAATAAACAAAACTTTATAACAGCTCAAGCTAATACGGTATTCACGAATTCCCTAAGAGGCTTCCCATAAAATTTCACAAATGTCGAGTAGGAGCCTCCATCGGGCAATTATGTTATTAGTCGCATAAAAAGTGGTATTAAATTTAATGAACGCAAAAATAGTTACAAGACAAAGCGGATTAAAATTAAAATTCCTGAATTGAGCTTTGTCTAGGCGAAACTAATCTACTAAAAGCACGGTGTTTAAAATGTATTGTAGCGTAGCTTTCGTGCGTGTGGCATTTATGTGGTATGATTTATGAATTCATAATATAACTATTATTTTTCGTGAAGGCGGGGAAAATATTTCATGTAGTTTTTCAGTTTGTCTGCTTTTGTTTGCAGACTGTCTTTAATCCCCGTATTATCGAACAAAAAATTTCCTTGGTTGTGCTGGAACAGTGTTTGCATTTCATAATGAAATGAGGTTTCTTCTGTATTATTTTGGTACGTGTTCCATCTCTGGCACATGGAGCTGAAAATCAGATATTTCATAATCTGACGAATGCGCTCATAAAACGAAAATTGCTAGACATACGTTTCCATGATTAGCCGATTTCTTATTTCTTTGAATATCACGTTCGTTATTAATGTTTTTCCACCTTTCGTCGAGTTAGTGTGCAAGAAAAAAAAAAGACACACGGTGTAAGTATTTTTTTAATTAGTAACAGACTTATTACGAGAACAGACTGTCAATAATTCCCAAAAATACTAAACCAGCAACCACATTTTGAAGTTGTTTTAGTGTCGAAGACGAAAATAAGTGCCATATATTCCAACCATCAGTGGTTGTAACAGCCGTTGTAGTGTCAACTAGAACTCCAAAAGGTGTTACATCCAGTGGACCAGTGACCGTCCTGATCCATGAACGAAAAAACTGAACGTCACTATAGACTCCTGGAAAATTCTTATCAGCACACCCTTTTCCAGTTGAAATCACTCCAGTTAAGACACCTTCGCACACCAAAGGACCTCCAGAGTCTCCCTGTGGGTGTATAAAAGTAAACCCAAAATTACCAAACCTTTGCTTACTTGACACGCATCCGCTGGTCTTTCTTCATTCACCGCACACAACATCCCCTTGAATAAAGCAATGTTGTCAAAATCGTATCGTCGTTGACATTCGTCATGGTCTACTATGAAGACGTTCGTTGCCAACAGTCGACCACTCAACTCGGATGAATTCTAGAAACGTCTTTGTTACAAAGTTCCACCACACTTAACCCAACTAACGTAGTTCTGGACTCCCCAGCCAGAAACAGTGCACATCAAGTTCGCACTGACGCTCTCTTTGTTTAACCCAATAGCAGCTACTTGACCAACACGCGGTAGTTCCGTTTCTAATTCTAGTACCGCTATATCGTTCGCCATGGTGTTAACGTCGTACTCTGGATGTATGACAATTTTGCCAACATTGCTATAGTTCGTCGAAGAGTTCAAAAATAAATCTCCACTAAACACGTTGACGACGTTTGGTGGTAAAATTCCGCCCCAGATGTAGTAGCAACAGTGTGCCGCTGTCACCACGTGTTTCGGACTGATGATGGTACCTCCACAGAAGTGGTGGTTGTTGTAGGAACGTCTAAGCGAAACCTTCAACTAAATGTTAGTCAAAATTTTTCGTTTTGGGGGTTACCTGGTATGGAAATTCGCCGAGTTTGGCCAATCGGCCTCCGACTATTCTTTTGTCAGTGGGGGTACCAGTGGCGGTTTTAAGTACACACAGTAACAGTAAATGGGTTAATTTTAACATGTTAGTACGTGTTGGAAGTGAAGGTTAAAGTGACGACAGGAAAGTGTAAACAGATAACGGTTTAGAGACGTCATGTCAAGAGATTTAACACTGATAAGAAGTTATCACAGATTTTGTTTTTATACAAATAGTGAAAGTAAATAAAGTGAGCGCTTCTGGGGATTGTTTTATAGTTTTATTGTGGTTTTATTTATTTTTGACAAGTCTTTCTGTCAGTAGTTCAAAAATAAGACAAGAGATCTCCGAAAATCTTTAAATTATTTTTATTTCAAAAACAAAAGAAAAAGAAGGGTTTCCGACATTTTTTGAAACTACATCAAAAATAAATCACAAGAGGTCTCGAAGATTCTGTCAAATTACTTCAAAAACAAGATAAGGGATCCCCAAGATTTTTTCAAACTATTTTTTTCTCTTAAATCTTCTGTTGTCTGTCTTCTGTTAGCAATTTTACTAATATCGTAAAATTCGGTAGAGAACCTAGAAATCCTACAATCTCAGAGGTTTTAAAGATACTAGATTCTACAGAAATTCTAAAGATCATAAATATTCCAAGGACTCTGGTTAGAGATTTCAGAAACACTTATCAGTATTCCCAACGATACCACATGTGCAGTACATTTTAAAATCTGTTTCCTAAATGCAGGAAAGTCCTTTTTTTAGATTCTTGAAATTCTCGAGATACCTGACATACAGCGATCCTTAAGAACTTTGAAATTGGAAGGACTATGTAAATATTAAAAATATCAGATATTCAGAAGTTCTACAAATATTAGAAACTGTGAGTTGTAGCGATTGGATAGAAACTTTAGAGATCGATATTCCAAAAATATTTGAGAAACTTTTATGGATCTTAGATATACTAGAGATTGTAAACACTCCAAAGATTCCAGAGGATCCAAAAATTGTAGAGTTGCAGAAATTTTAGAGACTATTGCGTCCTAGAGATCATGAAATTTTAGACCTAGAAATCCTTGAATCTCAGAAGTCTCAAAGATAATAGATTCTACAGAAATACTAAAGAACATAAATATTCCAAGGATTCTAGTTAGAGATTTCAGAGATATCAGTGTTCCCAACGATACCACAGATTCGACTCATTTTAAAATCTATTTTCTAGATGCCAGAAAGTCCAAATTTTTTTGAAATTCCTGAAAATCTTGAGATACTTGACATAGAGCAATTCTTAAAAATTGCTCTATGTCAAGTAAACAATGTCAAATATTCCAGAAATTCTAGAAATATTAGAGACAATAGCAGTTCTAACGATTGGACGGATATTTTAGAGATTGATGTTCCAAAAATATTTGAGATACTTCTAGAGATCCTAGATGTACTACTAATTATGAAGACTCCAAAGATTCCAGAGGATCCAAAAATTATAGAGCTTCTCGCGTCCTAGAGATAATAGAGATTGTATACAAATTTAAGATTAAACAAATCCTTAACTTTTTAGAGGTCGTAAAATTCGGTAACTTCTCAAGATTCTAAAGAACCTTGAAATCCTAGAACTTCAGAGGCCTCAAAGATACTACAGAAATTCTAAAGGTCATAAATAAGTATTACAAGGATTCTAGTTAGAGATTTCAGTGTTTTCAACGATACCACAGATGCAATGTATTTTAGACTCTGTTCCCTAGATGCCAGAAAGTCCAATTTTTTTTTTAGATTCCTGAAAATCTTGACATACCTGACATGCAACGATCCTTAAAAATTTTGAGTTATAAAGGACTATGTAAATACTAAAAATTTCAGATATTTAGAAGTTCTACAAATATTAGAGACTGTAGTAGTTCTAGCGATTGGACGAATACATTAGAAATTGATATTCCAAAAATACTTTAGAGACTTATAGATATCTTAGATATACTGGAGATTATGAAGACTCCAAAGTTTCCAGAGGCTCCAAAAAAAATTGTAGAGATTCGGAGATTTTAGAGCTTCTCGCGTCCTAGGGATAATAGAAATTACATATATACAAATTTAACGTTACACCAATCCTTAAGATTTTAAAGATCGTAAAATTCGGTAACTTCTTAAGTTCTAGAGAACTTAGAAATCCTAGAACCTCAGAGAACTCATAGATACTAGATTCCACAGACATTCTAAAGATCATAAATATTCCAAGGATTCTAGTTAAGGAGTTCAGAGATTCCACTGTTGTCAACGATACCACAGATGCAATGCATTTTAAAATCTATTTCCTAGATGCCAGAAAGTCCAATTTTTTTTGAGATTCCTGAAAATCTTGAGATATTTGACATATAGCAATTCTTAAGAATTTTGAGATATGAAAGACAATGTAAATACTAACAATTTCAAATATTCCAGAAATTCTAGAAATATTAGAGACCGTAGCAGTTCTATCGATTGGGCGGATATTTTAGAAATTGATGTTCCAAAAATATTTGAGACACTTCTAGAGATCCTAGATGTACTACTAATTATGAAGACTCCAAAGGTTCCAGAGGATCCAAAAATTGTACAAATTCAGAGATGTTTAGATTCTTGCATATTCTAGACATATTTAAGGTGATACAATTTCTTAAGATTTTTGAGATCGTAAAATTCGTTAATTTCTCAATATTCTAAAGAACTTAGAAATCCTAGAAACTCAGTGATACCAGATTCCGCGGAAATTCTAAAGATCATAAATATTCCAAGGATTCTCGTTAGAAATTTCAGAGATATCAGTATTCCAAACGATACCACCGGTGCAATGCATTTTAAAATCTGTTCCCAAATGGACGAAAGTCCTTTTTTGAAATTCTTGAAATTTTTGAGATGCCTGACATACAGCGATCTTTAAAAAAATTGAGACTAGAAGGACTAAATATCAGATATTAAGAAATTCTACAAATGTTAGAGACTGTAGGAGTTCTAGCGATTGTATATGAACTTTAGAGATTGACATTCCAAAAATATTAGAGAAACTTTTAGAAATTTTAGATATACTAGAGATTGTGAAGACTCCAAAAATTCCAGAGGATCCAAAAATTGTAGAGATGCAGAAATTTTAGAGATTATTGCATTCTAGATATAATGAAATTCTAGACATATTTAAGGTGATATAAATCCTGAAGATTTTTGAGATCGTAAAATTGGGTAGAGAATTTAGAAATCCTAGAATCTCAGAGGTCTCAAAGATACTAGATTCTACAGAAATACTAAAGATCATAAATATTCTAAGGATTCTAGTTAAAGATTTCAGAGATATCAGTGTTCCTAACGATACCACAGATGCAATATATTTTAAAATCTGTTCTCTAGATTCCAGGAAGACCAAAAGTTTTTTAGATTCTTGAAATAGATGCCTGACATACAGCGATCTTAACCACTTTGTGATTGGAAGGACTATGTAAATACTAAATATTTCAAACATTGAAAAATTCCACAAATATTAGAGACTGATGTAGCAGTTATGGCGATTGGACAGATATTTTAGAGATAAAAAGATAAATATAAAAGATAAAGATGAGGATAAAAGATAAAGATGAAAATATATCAGAAACTTGTAGAGATCTTAGAAATGGTTTGAGAAATATAAAGATTCCAATGATTCCAAAGCATACAAAAATTGTAGAAATTCAGAGATTTTAGAATTCGTATAATTCGGGAACTTGTCAATATTCTAACGAACCTAGAAGTTATAGAACCTCAAAGATACTAAATCCCACAGAAATTGTAAAGATCATAAGTATTCCAACGATTGTAGTTAGAGATTTCAGAGATATCAGTGTTCCCAATGCCACCACTGGTAGACAGATATTTTAGAGATTGAGATTCCAAAAATATTTGAGAAACTTCTAGAGCTCTTAGATATGATTTGAGAGATATAAAGACTCCAAAGATTCCAAAAGATCCAAAATTGTAGAAATTCAGAAATTTTAGATTCTTGCGTCCTCTAGACATATTTAAGGTGATACAAACTCTTAAGATTGTAGAGATCGTAAAATTCGGTAATTTCTCAGCTAACCACAGAATTTCAAAGATACTAGTTTCCACAGAAATTCTAAAGATCATAAATATTTCAAGAATTCAAGATAGAAATTTCAAAGTTACCAGTGTTCCCAACGATACCAGAGATGCAATATATTTTAAAACCTGTTCTGTAGATGCCAGAATCTACATTTTTTTTTGAGATTCCTTAAATTCTTAAGATACCTGGCATAAAGCCATCCCTACGAACTTTTAGACTGGAAAGACTATGTAAATACTAGAAACTTCAAACATTCAGACATTATACAAATATTAGAGACTTTAGCATTTCTAGCGATTGGACAGATATTTTAGAGATTGAGATTCCAAAAGTATGAAAAACTTCTAGGTGATCTTAGATTTGGTTTGAGTGATATGAAGATTCCAATGATTTCAAAGGATCCAAAAATTGTAGAAATTCAGAGATTTTAGAGACTCTTTTATACAAATTCTTAAAATTTTAGAGATCGTAAAATTCGGTAACTTCTCAATATTCTATAGAACCTAGAAGTCCTAGACCCTTAAAGATACTATATTCCACAGAAATTCTAAAGGTCATAATTATTCCAAGGATTCTAGTTAGAGATTTCAGAGGTATCAGTGTTCCTAACGATACCAGGGGTCCAACGCATTTTAAAATATGTTCCCTAGATGACAAAAGTCCAATTTTTTTGATATTCTTGAAATTTTCGAGGTACCTGACATATAGCGATATTTAAGAACTTTGAGATTGGAATGACTATGTAAATATTAAAAATCTCAGATATTCAAAAGTTCTACAAATACCAGAGACTGTAGGAGTTCTAGCGATTGGATAGAAACTTTAGAGATTGATATTCCAAAAATATTTGGGAAACTTTTGGATACCTTAGATATACTAGAGATTGTGAAGGCTCCAAAGATTCCAGAGGATCCAAAAATTGTAGAGGTGCAGAAATTTTAGAGACTATTGCGTCCTAGAGATCATGAAATTTTAGACATATTTAAGGTGACATAAATCCTGAAGATTTTTGAGATCGTAAAATTCGGTAGAGAACCTAGAAATCCTAGAATCTCAGAGGTCTCAAACATACTAGATTCTACAGAAATTC